GCTTCCTTCTCCCCATCTTCTTTGACCTTCTTGTCCTTCTTTTTCAAAGGCTCCTGTGATTACATTGAGTTCACCCAGACAATTCAATATATTTTCTTGAAATACTTCATTGAATCACATTTGCAAAGTGTCTTTTATCACTTAACCCCCTCAAAAGTTCTAGGCGGTAAGGACATAAAGATCTTTAAAGAGCCAGCACTCTTTAAGGTTTTGAAGGATCTCACAACATCTTTAATCAAATTCTCAATGTCCAGCTGAATCAAAATCAATTAAACAAAATCAGTTGCACTTGTACCAAATTCTTAGCTCATGGAACAGTGAACTTTCTACGAAATAGCTTTGTATCAATACAACTAGTGGCTTCTTGATTGACATGGGAGACAGCAGGCTTTGAATTGTATAAGCATTTGACATGACTTTATGTCCAAATCATTATGGCGTTCTAATTTCATCCCAGGATTCATAAATTGAGACTTTCAGATAATTGTTCTATTTTTTCCTTGAAGCAAATTTATTAAGGGTTAGTCTGAAGCTAATTAAAAGGTCATGAGGTGGAAGCAGATTTCTGCAGAGTAATTACCGTTGTTAAATGGCCCTCTGATAGGAGGGAAGTATTTCAGTCTGAGTTAAAATGGTATTCAAGGGAATCCAACATCAAAATCAGAACTATGGAATGATACAAATGCACTGAAATGACAGTTATTGCCTTATTTTAACTATTTTTCCTACTTGTGTTTTATTATACATTTAAATTTGCTCTTACTGAATTTAATCTTGCCCAAAGAAATATTGTGGCTATTAGGTATGAAATCCTTAAATCATCTACATTGTGTTCTGATTGGCTTAGCAAACAGCCTTGCCTGTACCATGTAAGCTGTATATATTTAGTGAAAAGGTATTTATAGTAGGTTTATGCGAGCTTTTCTTTCAAATTGCTTTGGGTAAATATTTACAACAGATTTCACTTGTATATAAACTGTAACCTCGATCTATTTCCTGTGGTCCCTAGGTTTATAAAAAGGCACTATCAGTCAGTGGTACAGGCCAGATAACCAGAAGATATCCTTATAATTGTCCTCTCTCTGACCTCCCAAATATAACCAGGCATCGACAAAAACGATGGGAGGTAAAAGAGAGGGCAACTGAGTTCTCTTCATTTTTACCAATTCTAAGCATTTGTCTAAGCTACCACTGCCTGGATCATAGTGATAGCTCCCCAACACTTAGTCTGTACCCATTCACCTTCCTGGAGCCAGTGTAATTGTTCCCATTTTTAAATTCCTAGAATAAAAAATTTTTTATTTTCAATTCCTAGAATTAAAAATTTAATTATTGCCTAGAATTTAATAACTTAATTATTAAATTTAATAATTTAAAGGAAGCTTTTAATTCCTTTTGTTTTCTCTGTTGGTATCAGGAATTGAACTCATGACCTCACACTTGCCGGGCAGGTGCTGTGCGACTGAACTAAATCCCCAGCTCTCTCCATTTTATAGTGCTCCTAGGATAGAGATAAAATTCATAAGCTCATCCTCAAAGCCCTGAAGGTGGCACCTGCTCTGCAACTCAGCCTTACCCGACAGCACTTTTGCTTTTGCTCTTTTGCAAGACCAGTGCCATTCTAAAGTGCCCTCTAAAATGCAAGGTCCTTTCTTCCTGAGGCTCTGTGAGCACAGTTTGCTCTACACAGACTGTTCTATCATCTCTTCCATCTGTGACTTACTAACTTATTAATTTTAGCTCAATCTTTTTTGTTAGGGAAATCCATGTTGTCTTTTCTTAAATGATTGGATTTCCTCAGTAGGAGCCCTCCTGTTAGACTTTCATATCTGTTTAAACACTTCCACTATTAGCATCTGGCTCCCCTGAACTGAGAAGTCTGTGTCCAGGAACTTGCTCGATTTTAGGTCTCTTTTGTGTTACCTGTGTTCAGGATAATGCCTGGTACATAGCTGATGCTTAATAAATATCAGTTAAGTGGATGAATAATACTGTCATAGAAGAACATAATTGTGTAGAAAAGAAGACAGAATAAAAGATAAATGAAGACATGGAATCAGTAGGGATAAGAGGAGGTGGTAATAATAAACTGATCCGACATTGATCCTGGAGTCAGGGAGGTCGGGTGTAGTAATCATTTGAAGAACAACTTTAATAACAACATGAATAGATTTTGTCCTGTGACTTACTGTGAGGCTCCCCTATATCTACTTTTATTACAGAAGCCAGAGATGTGTGCATTTGTGTAATTTTGAGCAATCAAATGCTTGCTTTCTTGTTTAGTTGCAAGTTAAGTCTTAATTCATTCATTTACTTAAACAACTGAAAGGAACTCTAGTCTAAGCACAGACTATGGTTAACTGTTCTCACTAAACAAATTATAAACAGTGCTATAGTATGTGCTCTTAAATTAGGTCTGAAGTATCTTTTATTTAGGTGTGAAGTTAGCTGTAGCCTGTACTTGACAAATCATTGGTATAAGGTAAAAACAAAGATAGATAGATAGAAATCTATTTTGTTCCTGGAGTGCAAGAGAGACTTGATGGAAAGTTGCTAAACCATTAAATTTTTTTTGGCTTTTTACTCTTTATCGGTACTGGGGATTGAACTCACGACTGCCTGCTTGCAAGGCAGGCGCTTATGCCGCTGAGCTAAATCTCCAGCCCCTAAACCATTAATTTTAAGACAAAAACACTATAAAAAAGTTGCTGCTGCCAATGATAATATTGAATTATAACATAGCTATGAAAAAATGCTGTAAAGAGACAAAAATATTCAGATATCATTTTAAAAATAGAAAAGGGAAAATATTATCAAACAGAAGTTTTTAATAAATTTCAAAACTTAAGTAATAATTATTGAAATAATGAAAAAACACAAAATATCTTACATATTAACAACTGATTCAAATATATCATGAATATTACAAACATTAAACACGATACATAATATTCATGTATATATTTTAAGAAAAATGAAATCCTTTAAGTATTTAACAAATGTTAAGAATACTTGTGAAATAATTTAATTATTGATATTAAAGTTTTATTGAGAAATTATAAAAAGACAATATAAATAAGAGAATCCCATATTTCCAGATGGGAAGACAAAATATAAAGATGTCAGTTTTCCTCAAATTTGTCAACCAGTTTATATAACCCCAATTTAAATCTTCAAGTAGTTATCTGGGGATATAGCTCAGTGGCACAGTGCCTGCCTGGCAAGCCCAAGGTCATGAGTTAGATCCCTGGTACCAAAACCCAACCAAACAACAACAACAACAACAACAACAACAACAAAAAGAAACCAAAAATAAACAAGTAGCATTTTTTCTTGTAATGTGAAAAATTTTTATGAAGTTTACCTGAAAAATTACCAGGTAAAATCAAAGTTTTATTTATTTATTTACTACTACTATTATTCTTATTTTTCAAAACAGGAAGTACATTGAAATGGTTTCCTCTAATGGCCAAATATTAAAACATTAATATTTAAAACAATAATAATTACAGTAATATATGTTAGTCTCAAAAAAAGATATGTATTATAATAGACTACCACAGAATGGTCAGAAATTCTGTATTTCTTTTGAGAATCTAATAAAGAATTATCAAGAGGCAATGGGAGAGGTAAGGTTTACATAGAAACTTTTGTTGGACAAACAGAATACTAATTTCCACAAGAGTAGTAGTGGTAGTTCATCATAGCGATGACTCCCACCTAGAATCAGGCTGTGAACCTTGTTAACCTCTCAGCTGGGACACAACACAAAGTTTTGAATGATTTGTTACATTGCAATGGATAATTTAACCAATAACTTATAGCACAGACCAAAGTACATTCCAGACAGTACGAGTTAAAGATAAAATTAAAAGAAAATAAAACTAGCAAATAAATTAAAAATTTGAAACATGCTGCCTTCATATTTGCCTGGCGAGGTCTTTTTGTCATCCAGATCTCAGGTTAAATGTTGTCTCTACAGAGTTTTTCTAATGATAGATTCCTCAGATTTTATCACTTTTCCCCCATTTGTGTCACAGTGTGAGTTTCTTATGTTCATTTTCCCCTTTATTGTCTGTTTTTCTTACTGCAAAATAAAGTTCATGGGAACAAGCTCTTTTCAAGTATTTTCGGCTCTAATATCTTGGTATATTATCATCGTTCAATAAGTATTTGTAAAATTCATGAATAAATGAAAGATATTCTGATAGTGGATTAGCATTCTAAGGTTCACATCTAGAAAACCTAAATTTGACTACCAACTGTTAAGCCTCTCCCTAAGGGCAAAACGAAACACATGGAAAAATGAGACAAGGGAACTGGAAAAAGCAAAAGCATAAAACATGACAAGGATTAATGTTATTTCTTATGTAAAATATTAAGTTATAACTAGAAAGTTCACATCAGAAGATATAGCTTAAAAACAGAAATAAAAACAGCAGATATTGATAGCAATCAAGATGAAAATATTGAGGTCAACATTTTTATGGCAAAGAATTTAAGAAGAAAAATGGCATAATTCAGTGTTGGCTTGCATATTCCAAAAACACTAAATTTGTACATTTTGGAAGGCAACATCTGGATAGCTATTGAAATATTTTCAAATCTTTTGATGCAAGATTTGCATTCCTGAAAAATCATCCAAAGCAAACGACTCCAGAGATGAAACATATTGGCTAAACATATTGGTTTCAAAATATTTCCAACGTAAAATTTAGAAGAGTTGCTTTTATTTAGTAGAGAGGCAATTACCTTTTCAGCTGAAGCCATCAGTAATGGATTAATAGGTTTTTCCTCATCTGTCTACCTTTTTTCTTAAATGTATTATTTTACAGTACAAACAGTGAAATTGCAATCAAGTATCTAAAGTCAATATTCTCTATCTACATTTCCCCACCAACTCAGGAAATTCAAACCCAAGCGCCTATTTCTAAAAGCTGGTGAGGGGGCGGGGCTCTAGAAGGTGGCGACGGTGACGCAAAACGAAACATCCGACGACCTGATGTACTGCTTTACGGCACTCACCCCCCTCCAGGTGCCGGAAGTCTGAAGCCGGCAAACATGGCTGCCACCTATGTCCTCAAACACTCAGCGACGACCCTGGCAGCGTTCTTGTTCTTGTCTTTCGTCAGCTCGGCCGCTAGTCACATCGAGGTAGGAGTCAGATTGTTTTGACGACTGAGTCCTGGGAGGACGGCTGTGTCGTGCCTGTGGGCAGTCCAGCAGATGTCAGATGCACAGCACCGGAGGGACGCCTCCTGCAGTCGTCAGTCTGACTCCGGCTGTGCTGTGGGAAGTGTGTCTTTCATATGGGTCGGTCTGCTTCAGCCTTTAAAAAGGACTAATTAAAAGAGGCAAATCTTCGGAGTCCGAGGAGGACCTGATCTGTTGCCCTACGCCCTACAGTCCTTCCTAGCAGGAGAAATGTTACCCCGGAGTGCAGCACCTGCTTTCCTTCTACCCAAGTGCACCGCTCTGCAGTCTTTCGATAGGGATCAGCTGGGTACGGTTTTCTGTCCTGGATTCCCCAACGCACCCCTTTTCTGAGACAGGAGCCCTCTCCCATTTAAACGTGACCACAGAACATTTTGGTTCTTTATAATGCTTTCATTATCCTATGCTGGGTGATTTGCCAGTGCTGTAATTTAGGTCTTTACCATTATTTTCAGGCTTGCATATTCAGTTGGTTAAGAGGCCTTGACACTGGCAGACATTTGAAAATCCACTTCTAAAATTTTATCGTTTGCTTATCCCACCTGAAAAGAAAGCAATGAAAAAACTAAGCACCTCTTTTCTTCCCGCATTTCCTAATCCAGACATATTACGGCTAACTCAGAAATCAGGAGTTTAAATAAACTCCTTTATCCCACATCGTGATTATCGCGAAACTATCGTCTGAACTCCTACACGTGCTTTTATCTCTCCTGTTCCACGGGTTCAATCCAGGCTTCGAACATTTCTTGTCTAGACTATTGGAATTACATTGTTGCCTCTAGGGTTCCATACTCCCTCGTATTAAGTTAGTCTTCATAAAATACAAGCCTTATCTGGTTATTCTGATTAAATCTAGTGTTTCTCTATTGCTTACAGAATAAAGTCTAAATATTAAGATCTGGTTTCTACCTACTTTTCTAGTATTTTGTTTTGGAAGCCTCCTTCTACCACCTTCACTACCTTGAGATTTGATCAGTGGACCTCAGGATGTCAGTTGAAAAAAGATTGAACCTGAAGTTCTGCTTTATTCTAGTGGATTATCTTACATACTTCATTTTGGATATCATTATTTTATTTACTTTTTGTAGTTGCATACTTGCTATGTTTTTCAGTCTCTATGTCTCCAGTTTCTTCTGTCTTTATTAATCTCTCTAGAACATTTCCCTATCTCTTGCCTTTGCCTTTACTGTTGTGGTTTGTATATTTAGTTAGTACAACACTCATTTATTATAACTCATGTATTGTTTATTATTCCATCATCTGTCACTTAACACAAATGGTTCCTCAGCTGGTCTGCCTAGAGTCATCCTTCATTCCAAACTCTTCTCAGAGTTGCAGCCAGAGTAACTTTGTAAAACGCAAATCTTGATCATGCCATTCATACGTACCTTAATGTTTCTGAAAACGTAAATAATAAATTATTATGACTCAAAAAGCACTTGCTTAAATCTCCAGTTCTCTTAGCCATGCTTTCAAACATCTAGTGCTAAACTTATTTTTCTTTCTCAAACCTTTAAGCTCAATTCTGCCATTGGTCCACATCCTCACTGTCTTCCTTTTATTTTTTCATCTTTTGGATCTTAACTCTCATGCCAGTTCTGTAAGGAAAACATCCTACTCAGCTCCTCCTATTATACTTTTGAAAAATATTGGGTGTAGTTGTATTATAGGATTTATAATTTTTTATTATTTGCTTAATGTATGTCAATCCACTAGCAACCTCCTTGAAGGCAAGTATTGTGACTATTGTTGCCTATCTTAGTATTTAATTAGAGCAGTGACTACCCCATGATATCCATGAATATGATGAATTAATGAATGTTATGTAATAATATAATGTGTTTGCATGCCTTATTTACTAAATTGTGAAATTCTTGAGAGAAAGTGGCATTTGAATATCACTGTACATTACTTGGTACCCAACACATAATAGATGCTCCATTGGCTATCTGAAGATGAAAAACTTTATAGTGACTGTGTTTTCTAGATAAGCAGAAGACTGTCACAATGTCTAATTTTTCACCGAAGTCTTAATGAAATAGAGCTTTTGCTGGGAAATACAATAGAGATTATTTAGGTCAAGTCTCATTTTTCTACATGACAAGGCAACTCTAAAGAGCCAAGTAGCTCATCCTAGCTGAATTTTGGCTCATATCTTCAAATTCTCAAATCAATACTTTTCTCACTAAAGCTTGTTTTTTTCTCTGACATCTAGGCAGCTACTGAGAATGGTTTGGAGACAAAATATGTATTTTACTTAGAATTGAGTGGAACAATTTTCATACTTCCTGAAATTTTCTTGTTAGTCAAAAGATTAAAATAACCATGTACTTGTTAGATAATCACTATTTCTGGATTCTGTGAGTCATAGTTTATTATAATTTTATAGATGGGGAAATGGAGGCATAGAGAAGTTAGCAACTTTCATAAGTCTATTTAGCTGCTGAGTAATACAGCCAGATTTGAATGCAGACATTCTGACTGTCAGTAATTTTGGTAGAAGATCTGAGATCAGTGTGGTTTAGGTCTATTATTACTTTAATATATGATTAAAAACATGCTTATTAGATGTCAAGGTGGTGTTGAATGATGAGATTTTTCCATCTAGAAATGACAAATATAATCCAGACTTACTGTAACAGATTTCTGAAATGGTACATGGCAGTATTCTATAAAATATGTTTAATCAGATGTGTTATTAGTTCAGATAAAGCATCGGATTATAGCAGAAATAAAATTTTAACAGGAAAAATGAATTTTTGTACAGGGAATCATGACATGAAATAAGTCATTCACAATTTTAAAATGGAATTGAAAATGAGAAACATGTGGAAGACATATTATTCTGAACCCATCATCCATGTGGTTTCAGTTTTCCAGGAGATACTCTTGCTGTGTCTGCTGCCAATAAAGATGTGATCATATATTGATTCATTAAAAATACTCAAAATCCACTATGTGCCAAACTTGGGGTGCATTAGTCAATGTGACTGGATGCTTGGCTCTGTCCTACTGAAGTCTATCCCGTGGGGAGAAACAATGATACACATCATAAAAAAAGTTAATGGTATGTAAGAAGATGATAAATGGAGGAAGTAAATCATGGTCAGGAAAATGGTGGATGAGATTATAGTTTTAAATGATGGCCTGTTAAACTTTCAAACAGACATCCTGTGTCCTCTGCAGAGCATACTTTTTACTTCCTCAGTAGTTTTCAGGGTATAGGAAACAGTGAGATGAGATGTCTATACTGTGCTTTCATTTGTATGAGGCTTAATAATTTTTTAAAGCTGAAGCTCTTCCACACATAGCTTCAGTCCTGTAAATGACAGTGACGTAGGCCTGGCATTACTTTTATTTTGCATAGAAAAAGAGTCTTGAGCAAATTAAGCCCTCCCTGCCTGGCTCCATCTAGGGCCTGGTGCATGACAGGGAAGTGCTGTATCATTGAGCAAGTACTGTACCGCACCTTAAGTAGGGTTACTCTGTTTAGTCATGGTCTCATGCAAGATGGAAACATATGTGTCTGATATGTTCTGGTTCAGGACTTTTTTCCCCCTGCTATAGAATCTTAAACTAAGAGTTTTAAAAATTTTCCTATAATATCGTATCTTAAACTGGTTTCTGGTTTAAGTTTGATTATTTTTTCTTAAGGTCAAATGCTATTATCTTCATAAACTTACTTAATTTGTGTGAATCTATATTGTTCTTTATCTTTATTTTGGGAAATTGTGGCTTTTTCTTAATCATTTTGCTTTTATTTGGTTGACAGGATCAAGCAGAACAATTTTTTAGAAGTGGCCATACAAACAACTGGGCTGTTTTGGTAAGTACATTCTGTAAAGATTCATCTTGCTGCTCATTCAATACGTATCTGGAGATTTTTATGTGACTAAAATATTTGAAAATAAAATTTGTTTTCTTATATTTTAACAGAAATTCTTTATTTTGGTTTGGCTATCTTTTAAATTGATCACATCAAAGAATAAAATTTTAATAATATTTCTTGCCCTTCATTTATCTTTCAAGTGGTGATCTCTATAAATATAAGAGCCAGGTGTGGTGGTGCATGGTTGTAATCCCAGCACTTGGGAGGCTGAGGTAGGATGACTGCCATGAGTTTGAGGCCATCCTGGGCTACATCATGAGTTCATGGCAAGCCTGGACTACATAGCAAGACCCTGCCTCAAAACCAAAATAAAACAAAACAAAACATATAAGTAAACATAACAATCAATTAGGGGTACTGCTGTTAAAGAAAGCATGTTATGAAATGTAGAATTATTTAGTGCTGTCAGTGATTACTTATCTATCTTACATAAAATGTAGAATTATTTAATACTTTCAGTGAGTAATTATGTATCTTACTGATAATCCTAGTTTATAAATGCTTTCTATTTAGGCTGATATATATTTTTTTCTGTTTATAAAAATAAATTATAATTGTAGAAAATTCAAATTAATAGTGTTTTAAAAGAAGACAGATTGAATTTCACCTCAATTAAAAAAAATGGAAATGTCTTAAAGTCTTACATTCTAGAGCCCATACTTTGATGAGTGCTATCTCTCTTCATATGAACAAGAAAGTTATAAAGTTAGATACATGGTTTGTTCACTTTAGATCATTACACCTGCTTTTTACACTGCCTTAAGGTATCTTGAGATTCTTTTGCTACTAGTAGTTATGCAGGTATATACTATTTTCTACATGCTGTATTTCTATATTATGAATATGTAGTATGGAATCTAAACATCGTATTATTTTAGTCACAACTGTGTTGAATGTTCTTATATACATTTTTGTGACCTTGACTGACTTCCTCTTTAATAGAAGTTCCTACACATAAAAATATGAAGTCATGGAACCTGATCACCATCCAGAATGACCATTTCTTTTTCTAGATCCAAGTCAACAATATATTATTAATTTTTCATGATTTCAAGGCAACAACTTAAATTTATTTTAGTTTACATTGTTGTGAGCCTAAGATTTGCTTATTGGCCTATTGCTTTTTTTTTTTTTTTCTAATTTGACCTTTTTCTCTCTCAGCATGAATTAACATCTTTAATTTGTCTAGATTCACACAGTTTTATTTTTCATTTTTCAAGTAGAATACATATTATCAACTTATTTTGGGTGATAGTTTCACTGCTAGGGTTCTAGTTGATGATATTTACATGATTAGAAGCTAGAATAAGTTCAACTCAATGAAAAAATGTACAGAAAGGGTTGGCTGTCTTACTGTGTTTTCTATGACTGCCAGCATGATACCTGAGCCTGGGTCATATGTGAAGAACAGAGGTTTCTTTGGCTCCCATTTCTGGAGGTGAGGAGGCCTGAGAGTAGAGTGACGAAGGGCTGTTACTGCAATTTCGTGACAGCTGCAGGTTTTATGTTCTGCCCAATATTTTTGCATTAGACTTAGCATTGTACAGTGAACTTTAAATAAATTGTGCCCTTTAAATGAAAAGTTATGAAATTTGACTGGGTCTAATTGATAGTACTAAAAATGATTCTTTCAATGTTAGGTAATTTATATTTTTTTACCAGTTTCCCCCCAGTTTGAATTGATTTGATTTAGTCTTGATGAGATGACCAGAGTGAAATGCCCCTTTACTTTCTGAGGAAACTTGCCAGCAGAGGAAGACAAAAGGAAAATTGGGTTCCATTGTGGTTTCTAATCATATTGCTGTGTTTAATAAAAATGATAAAGGTAATCCATACTTATGAGTGGATAGCAAAGTTGCAGCGAGAAAGGAATCACCTGCAAAGTTATTCCTCCCACCTTGGCCCTTGTTTTTATGGTCTAAGGATGATCACTATTATCAGTGTCTTGTATATCCTGTCGTTTCCAGTGGGTATAATCATATCTTTGTCTACTCTTCCCTTTATCTCAAAAGACTATTGGACCGTGTCTCATACCCCTTTTACAATTGGCATTTAAAAAATTACATTCAGTGAGTATTTGGTAATTTAAATTAAGCTGATATTTCTTGGTAGCTTATATTTGCTCACCTTAATTGTATAGTAAGTTACTTGTGAAAACAAGGTCAGTTTGTCAGGTGTATGCTTTGTTTGTTTGTTCTTTTTTTTTTTTTGTTTTGTCTTTTTCATTTTTATCGGTACCGGGGATCGAACTCACGACCGCCTGCTTCCAAGGCAGGTACTTATGCCACTGAGCTAAATCCCCAGCCCCCTGTTCTTTTTTTTTTTTAGACAGGGTTTCACTGTGCAGTTTAGGTTGGCCTTAAACTCACTTTGTAACCCAGGCTGGCCTCGAACTTGAAGCAGTCCTCCTGTGTCAGCCTCCTAAGTGCTGGGATTACAGGCATGTACCATCTTACCCAGCGAGGTGTATGCTTCTTAATAATATAATAGATGCAAAAAGCTTTTCATATATGCAAAAAGGACACCAAAAATACAGTACTGGTTTCTATATGATTAATTCAGGTAGAAATTACTTTATGCTTTTTCTGTTTCCAGTTAGGGAAAATGTAAATGTTTTACTAGATTTTCTGGCAATGTTTTGGCTTCTAGCTTTTTGGTTTTCATTTTTGCTAATTCAGGCAGTATTACAGTGAAAACCCTAGAGCACATATTTTTGCATATTGTTTGAAGTAGGTGCAGAAAGACAGCTATTTTTTCAAACTTGGTGTGTATTGCAAATTATTCTCTTGGAAGGGTTATATTAATTTACATTTTTATCAGTAAGCTCTGAGTACTGTACTTATTTCTCTATATGCTTGACAATACCGTGAATCATCAGACTTTCTATATTTATCAATTTGATACATAGTTTTAAAAGTATAGCTGAGGTTGCATGAGCAATTTGAAGGCTTATTTTATTTTATTTTATTTCACAGGGTGTTGCTAAGTTTCCTGGGCTAGGTTTGAATTTGTGATCCTCCTTCCTCAGCCTCCCAAGCTGCTAGGATTATAGGTGTGTACCACCACACCTGGCTTTTGTGTCCATTTTTAACACTTTTGTTATAATGCAGTTATTCTTGCCCTTTCCTCATTTAAACTTAGTCCTTTTTTCTGTTGAATTATGATTAAGAAAATTAGACCTTTTATTTAGTTTTTGAGTTTTTCCTTTGTTGGGATTTATGCTATTTTTGACATATGAAATTTTATATTTTTATGTAGCCAAGCATTTTAGCCTTTTCCTTGTTGGATTCTAGGATGAAAACTTACTTTAATTAAAAAAAAATGTAGTTCATTTTTACTTGGCAGGGACAAGAGCATTAATACTGTCTCTAAGTTGTCATAGCGGCAGGCATACAGGCATGTCATCAGAGGTGATTCTGTGCTCGGTGGACATCCTCCCAACTGACCCTCATTTCTATTTACCGAAGAGTTTTCTAGGAAACTAACTTTTAAAGTAGAGAGTTGGATTTTCCTAGCACTTTTGATATTTTTAGCAATCTTTTTTAAGTGTGAAATTTGATTAAATTGTTTCTAGTTTTCTGTTCAGTTCGAAAACTTAGTAGTGTATTTTTTATGTACATATAGAGCTGCTTTGCAAGTTATATTTTAGTCTGTGTCCTACATTTCCCACAACTAAGAAAACAAGAGTGAAATGAGTATTCCATAACGAAAGCAGCTAGTTTTCTTCTCAGTTCTGTAAAGAGATTATGGGCATTGTCTTTGATTCTAAAGAATATAATCTTTTAGATATAGGAGCATTATAGAACCACAGAAATTGAGAATAACTAAACTGGTTCAGTATTTGATTAAATTCCCCCCAAATGTGTTTTCTCCGAAGGTGGCCTTTTGTAATATTAGTTATTATGAAGGCTTCTCTTTACAGAGCTTGGTTTTATTGATAGTTAAAAACTTTATGTTTTTTGCTGTTTTAAGCTTGAAACTCTGAAGAAATTTCTATGTCATATTTAAAGAAAAATAATTCTGTAACTTCATGGAATGTTTTGACCTATAAAAATCATATATTTGTTTTCATACTTTAGGTTTGTACGTCCCGATTCTGGTTTAATTATCGACATGTTGCAAATACTCTTTCTGTTTATAGAAGTGTCAAGAGGCTGGGTATTCCTGACAGGTAAGAAATCTTAATCAGGTTTTAGTTTGAATCTCAGTAAGCTGATCATTGGATAGCTATTATTATATTTATCACTTAAGACCATAATGAGAGCTTATATAAAAGAACAATCAATACTGAGGTAAAAACATTTGATAAAGCTTGTTACCTATTTATTAAATGCCTTACTATTTTTAACTGCAGCAGTATAGGACAATTCCAGTATAAGAGGGTCTTATGGAAAGCCTGTTGATTGCGTCTTCAAATTCCAGGGAGGGCTGTGACCTTGAAATGAAACAAGAAACCCCGACAGCAGAAAACACGTAGCTAGAATCATAACATAAAACCAGTGTGCTGACCAGTAATGCTGCTGCCACCTGCTTTTTGCCACTGCTGCCTTTAGAAGTTTAATGTTGCTGCTTCGTCCTGCTATCTGAATTCAGCTTTTGCTGTTCCGATTTTGTACTGTTGCTAGTTTTTATGGAGTCCTTGGTGGGGATGTCATAGTGGCACAGCCTAGGTGAAGTGCCCATGTGGATGCTGCAAGTAATTGGAAGAATAAGCAGACGGTCTTGTCAGTGTCTGTATGTGGAGGTGAGCTCTGCCATCTAGGAAGATGAATAAAGAGGGAAATTGCCCACTTAGAAGTTCAGATACTAGGTAGCACCCCGCCACCTCCATCTCCGCCCAGATCACGTCCTTTACATTTGGCTTATGTATGAGAGATTGATTTTTGCTGCTACCGAAGAGCTTTGTATGGGAGATGAGTTTGAAATGTGCCTTTAATGGTGACTTTGGGCAAATCACTTCACCGCATAAGCATGCTTTCCCCTCTATGGCGTGGTCCTCTTCGCAGGATTCAGATTTGTGCAGTGAAAACAGAGATATGAATAAAATGTTGCAGGAATTGAAAGGAAGCAGTGTGTGACCCAGGAAAAGTCTATGTAAATAGGTCATTTTGGCCTAAGAAATTGACAAAACTATAATTTTTTTTTTTGTCTTTTTCCTTTTTATCCGTACCAGGGATCGAATTCACGACTGCTTGCTTGCAAGGCAGGCGCTTATGCCGCAGAGCTAAATCCCCAGCCCAACAAAACTATAATTTAGTGCCTGAATTTCATGTAGAAATTAGGGCAGCTAGATAATATTTCTATTTAAGAAATTACATTGCATTCAGTGTGAGAAAGAGATTGATTTGTTGTACTGAAGAAACAGGTGTAATTTTGGCCATTTTCAGTTGGTCCTAGGTCTAGGTGCTTAGTCCTTTGTTCCTTGACTGTGTCCTGTCTACTCTCCAGAGAGTCATCATGCTGGCTTGGCAGTAGTTTTTATCTGTAAGTAAATTGTCATCTGCTCTGTGAATCAGTCATTAGGCTGATTTTCAGTGGTTTAAGGTCTGGAGGATCGTTTTAGAAACAGAAGACAGTGATAAGTGGTATTATTTTATATATTATGTTTATTAGGTTTTCCCTAGGCTTCTAAAAATTTTTTCTTTAAAGGCTTGTTTCTCTTTCAGATGATTGTCTAAATTTCTGTTTAATGAATTCATTGTTCTGGAATGTGAACTGGAAATTTAAACAGTTGGAGAATTAAACCATTTGTTATGTAACAAATAGAAATCAATATAAAAGATTGTGTTTTGCTTTTTGACTACTTGGTAAATAAATGTTCCTGTTGTTGGTGCTTGTACCATTTATCTGTTACATGGAATTGAGTATAAAAATGCAATTATAGGGAAACTTTAGTCAGACAATAATAAACTGCTATAACAGTTTGAAATTTAAAATCATTAAATGTAGTTTTCAGTTTTAAAACTAGAATTTCAAAATACAGCTTGACTTGGTTTTATACATTACGGAACATTTTCAAGTTAAAACAACATTATAACCCTCCCCCAGCATTATAATTTCCATCTTAATCCTAAAAATAATCCTGAGGGAAATGATTAGTTGCAACACTAACAGTAGTTAGTGTTCTAGTGTGCTAAGTTTCTTTGTTTGCTTGCTTGTTTTTAAAGGAGCATTTTATCATTACATTGAAATGCAAAATATTTTCATGGAATTTTCCCATATACTTCAATAAGAAGTTCATGTCACAAATCCTTTCCTACAATATATGACGTAATATTCTGCAGACCTGCAAGGCTATAGTAGTAATACCCTTACTGTTCTGATTTTTCTCTGGTCTTCTGTTTGTATTTCACATATTCCTGCCATGCTAAGTTATTTCCCGTGTCTGAAATGATAATCTGTACTTCTGGTTCACTGCTACCCAATCTTGGTTTTGATTCTGAATCACTTATGGCACATATTAAAAGTATGATTTTTTAAAAGCCCCATTGGGAGCCTTGAGAGATTTTGTTTGTATTTGTCTGATTTGAGCTTTCTGAAATGGTTCAATATTTTTAGACAACTCATTGGATTTGAAGTGAGGCAGGTATATAAGCTTTATGTTTAGTTCTGATGTGTAAGCAAATTTGGGGAGCATAGGTTTAATTTTTACCTGATCTGCCCAGTTTACTTCACTCAGATAGTTTTTGATCCTTAAGCGTTTTCTGATTTCCTCATGTATATTTTTATGATGGTATCTTGTGTGTATTTTTTTTAATCATCAAATGGTTGTTCTAATTATAGTATTCTCCTGCATTAGGTTGTAAATGTCTTGAAGGGAGCACTGCTTTTTTTCCCCTTTTCTTCTGTTTGCAGTTCTATGGATCAACGGAAGGCCTTGTCCCTGCTTGGCAAGCTACTCTCCCAAGCCCCAGGGACTGTGCTTCATTTCCCTTTCCACCTCTGGCATCTGCTGTAGTCCTGTCACATTATAGGTGTCAGCAGGTGTTGGTAAATAAATCCATGTGTGATTTAGCAATGTTTTATCAGTTGTACAAAATAAACACAAACTTGCACTTTTAAAAGTAAAAATATTTACATCCCCGAAATTATGTTAGCTTACTTTTTGGGAAATGTTTATCTGATATTGAAGACATTTTGGTAAATAGGTTGCCAGAATTTTATAGTATTATTGGAAAATATTGACCAAGGGGAAGAAGATATTAGCGTTTCTGTGGGAAAGCGAAATGACCTCTCAAAGCCCCCCCCCAACAGCTCCTCCTGTTAACCCCTTTCATACTGAAGTTCTGCAGGAGAGACAGTCCTTTCCCACCGTGCCTGCACTTTTTCCATAGCTGTAGCCAGTGCTCAAGATTTTGGTTTTCCGTGATTTTAGCTTCCTGAAGTGTTTCTCTATTTCAGGCAGATTTCTGCCTTCAAATAGTTATTTTGCATGAAATCCTTCTTTTGCTACCTTCAGTATGCTTAATATAATTAAGACAAAAAGAAAAAAGGCATTAAGCAATGAATAGGTTCTGAACACTTTGTGTGAAGCAAAAATTGAGCCCAGCTACCTCTCCCCTGTGTCTTACACAGCGCATGGCGTACAGGAGTACGCTCTCTCTCATTAGGCCCGGCAGGCCAGCTTCTGCTCCGGCACTTGAGCAGATGAGCTTTCTGTGAGCACCTTAAAGAGGTTTACGCATGAGTAGGAGCTGTGGTATGTGAGAATATGTATATTTTTACCTCTGGAATTAGGACCCTCATGCTGTGAGAGGCTCCTGGGAACTGAGGCTGACTTAGGGAGCACAGCTTTATAGTTCCCGCCCCCTGTTTACTCTGGGAAATAAGAGCATTTTAGTATTACAAGGGGTGAAATCGTTTTCTCATTTCTTTCCTAACTGAATGCATGAGAATAAGTTCATGAAATAAAACGTATGATAATCTTTCTTAAATATGATTAGCTCTACTATAAGTTGAGTGGATGAGAGTTTGTATAGTCATTCCTGTCTCAGCAGCTCCCTGCTTCTGTAGTTCAATCTGGTAGCTTTTCTGAGTCCACTTAAAAGTATTGTCCTTTTCCTCTATATTCCAGTCACTGTGTGAGACTAAGATTCTAATTTAAACCTTTAATTTTTCATGTCTTGTTATTCAAAAACTTATAGTCTATGCAGGATAAAGTTCAGATTTCTACTCCTGTTACTAAGGAAGATTTTTTTGCAGTCCAGTTTTGAACCTAGCTTTCTGACCATTTCAGCTGGTTACACCTCAGCCCATCCCTCTTTGTTAGCCCCTGCCATGGCCTCTGTCCATTCCCTCGGTCCTCCACCTAGAGCTCTTTCCTTCTCCCTGTTTTCTAGTTTTCTGGTGTTTAGTATATCCAACCCATGCATTCCCCAAAGCCTTCTTGCATAAATAGTATTCTTATTGTATAAATAGTATTTATGTTCCTGTAATTGCCCTCTTTCTTTTCTGCAGGGCTGGGTTTGATACTGTGTTTTCCTAAGTGCATCCTTTGGTATATTGCACGGAGTTTAGGGGATGAATGGTGTGCTAGAGACCCCTCAGTTATTGGAACCTCATTAGTCCAGACCGGAAAGGAGACATTGATACGTGCTAATTTTCATGTTCTCTCTTATCCATGTTTCTCAAGCCTCACTGACCCAAAGTGCTGTGGTCAGTTTTATAAACTGTCTCATAACTCCTACTTTGGCACATGGTGGGAAGGTCTTACCTAGGGTATTTCAAATTGATTTCTTTTTTACTAGACAAGTCCAGAGGAGTCTTCTTACCTACAAGTTCAGTCTTACCGATTCCTTACTTTGCTACCATTTGAGTTTCCACTGGATGTACCTTTTCTTTTTTATCTCTATCCCTTTTAACTTTTTTCACAGGTAATAAAGCTTAGATGTAGGAGCTATTTAGGCAGTATTTAAATTCTAATAAAGTTTGTGTAAGTTGAAAAAAGATTACTATGGCTTCTTATCATTGTTGGTCTTTAAATTGTGTTGGTGGTATGACTTGACTGCCTTCATGCTGCTGTGGATCTAGTCTTATCTAAGGCAGAGCCTTAGTTAGGAATTTTCACACTGCTTATTAAAATAGCCTGGAGAAGGGCCTGGCGGTTACAGTTGTTTTTAAATCCTTGTAGCTTTCTTTCCAGAAAGGACAGCCAAAATAGACTTTTATGAG